CGAGAGTGGGGCGGGGGAGGGGGACCAAGTTTGAAATAGGAAAGCCGGAGAGACCTGGAGGGCTGGAGAAACAGGCTCTCAAAAAGCCCGGAGCCAGACAGAGACTCGAGCGACAGGAGAACACAGACCGTTGAAAGGAGCATAGGGGCTGGACATACAGAGTTTCTGAGTGAGGGACCGGAGGCACGGGGCGGACCTGGGTTTTGTGGAGCATTTTAAGAAAAAGCATAGGTATGACCTCGGTGACCGAATTCCTAGGGCCCTGTGGCTGGAGCTCTCTTAGCCTCACGCTAAATCCACCTCCAGGGCCTGCCTGCAGACAGACTGGAGATAGAGATGCTAAGAGGCTTGGATGAAGAGACGGAGGGGGATGGTGGGACCAACACTTTCAGCCCCTTAGGGACTCAGGGGGTTCAAGGCCTGGGTATGCAGAAATAGAAATCCACAAAGTGGATGGTTCCCCCACTGGGAGATACCCCCAAACATAAAGACAGCAGCTGAGTGAGCCAGATCCAGGGGTGCTGAGAGGGTGAGTTGGGGACAGACTGAGAGTTAATGTAGGTGGAGAGACCTAAGTGCGCTGTCAGCTCCAAGATAGACCCTGACATACCCAGACCTGGAACATTGTGTGGCAAGGTCAGGGGGAACAGACTTTCAGCCAGCCAATCCCCCAAGAGACAGAGGATCCCAGATGGTGAGACAGATCAAGAAGGAGCCCCATGCACGCACTGGCCCAACACAGCCTCAGCTTATTTTTAAACTCAAATCTTGGATGGCTGCTTCAGCCCTGGGGACCCAGGGTGAATGAACTGTTCCTCTCCTGTCCCTAGAGCAGCTGCTGGATCCTGCTCCCCACCCCCTTTCCCCTAAACTCCTTTGACTTCCAGGCCCCTTGGGGGAGGGAGGAGGAGAGCAGAATTTGGGGTTGGGTTGGTGCCCAGTAGCAGGAATAGGGTGGGGGCACTTTGATTTCTCCCCTCGTGTCTCCTGTCAACTCCGGGGAGTTGGAGGAAGGGTCTGTTCTGATCCTGACTCACAGCTGTGAGGCCTGGCCAGGGCCCTCCTGGACCGTGGGGGTAGGGAACAAAAGGATTGAGCAGTTGGCATGGGTATTGGAAAGGCTTCTGGGTGTCTTCCAATCACAGGGCTGGCAGCTAGGAAGGAGAACCAGGCTCTGGTATATCTCCTGTCCCCCTGCCCTTAAAAGCTGACCATCCCCTCTTCTACCACCATAGAAGCATTTCTAGGGAGAAGGCAGAAAGAAAGGGCTCCAGGCTAGGAGGCGAGAAACCTGGCTGTGATACCTGAGAGACTTTGGGCATGCCCCTGCCTGTTCTTGGCCTCCTTGTGCTCTGCTGTGAAGTGGGGACAACAGTCTGTCCTGTCTGCCTTTGCCAGATCTGATGATGTGGTGGGCATGTACTTTATGAGGGGTAGAGCCGCAGATAGATGTGTGTACCTGTGTACCTGTATGGGCAATCTCCAAGTTATGGTCGCTGGAATCAGACTGTTAGAACCGTTGCTGGTCCCAGTAGTCCCCTCAGCAAGATCCATGGGCCTGGGATCTCTTGTCCTCTCTCTGAGCCCACCAGATTGTTCAGGTCACATCCCAGGCCAGCTCCCTGCCCAGGCCTGCCTGAGACCTACAGTCTGACTTCAGTATGAATGAGGGGCTCACAGTAAAAATACAGATAGCTTCCATTTACTAAGTAGTTATTACCTGCAGGTACTTTTCAAGGATCATCCAATTTAAACCTGAAACAAAGCTAGGAGATATAGAAATAATATTATCTCAATTACATGGCTACACTGTCTCAGGACACTTAAGTCATTTGCCCAAAGTCGCAGAATCCAAACCTAGTTTATATTTTATTGCTTGAACCTCTAAACAAGGCACACAGTTCTGAGATCCAGGTGACTCCCTGAGATCGTGTGTGTGTGTGTGTGTGTGTGTGTGCAGTTAAGGTGTACGGATGTGTATGTTGGTGGGGGAAGGTGCCGACAGCAACTAGACAGATCCAACAATCTCCCCTGAACCTTGGCCCCTACCACCCAGGAACAAATAGAAGAAGGCTGGCTCTCTACTCATCCCTTCAGTTTCCCAGCCTTGCCAAGGAAAGGGGGAGGGAGTGGGGAGAGAGAGGGATGGGCAGAAACAGGTGGACCTTGATGGTGCCCTTCACTCTGTCCCCACTAGAGCCCAGCTGGATTGGGGGATGCTGGGAAAGAAACACAAGCCACACCCATACCCTATTTGGGGTGTCTGTTTCAGAGTGGTGGGTGGCTTCCAAGGGGCAGGCCTGGGACTAGCCTGGCCCCGGAGAGGTGGCTGCTGCAGCTACCTAGGCCAGGAAGGAAGGAAAGGACCCAGGCACTCCCAGGTGGACACATGTCCACACTCCACCTGCATGGCCCCCTGCTGCTCAGTGGCTGACAGCCCAGGCAATCCTCAGATGCTGGGGCAGAGGAACCTGGGACCTGAGGGGCTGAGGGGATTGAGGAGGAGGAGTACCCTCTATCCCACAGCGTAGCCCCTACCCTAGGAGTCCCCACCCTAAAGACCCCTGCTCTGTTGGCCTCATACCCTGCCTGGGATGTGAACTGAGTGCTCTCCCGTTGAACAGAAGGGAATCTGAACTCACAAGCCCTAGAAGTCAGTGCTCGCTTCGGCAGCACATATATACAAGCCCCAGGAGTCAGGCCTTCCAGGGTTGGCGTGTCTGCTGCTGCCTGACTTCTGAACTTAAGTCAGAGCTATGCTGTTGGTGAGAATCTCCCTCTGGGGGTGGCTGAAAAGAGGAGGGCTTTTCCTTCAACTTGAGCCAAGGCAGGCTGTGCCAGTCCATGGAGCCTGCTGGGGAGGGGCAGGAGATTGGTGGATTCTTTTGTGTGTCCCTTTAACTTCTCCAGGATGATCCTCTGTAACTATGAGCACATCTCCTTCCTCTGGGTTCTGGTGGTTCCTCTCTACAGGCTCGTTATCCCAAACCAGAGAGAGCAGGCTTCATGGTGGAGGAGGCCAGGGCTGGGGAGCTCTGACTTGGGGGCTGGAGACAATTGGGCAGTAGAAGGGACTGGGAACCCCACTTCCCGCCCCCATGCTCCCGTTCCAGAGGCAGCTGTGTGTATGACCTCATCCCGCAAACATGCTTTGTTCCTGAGAAAATGGAAAGTGTCTGAGGTTTGGTGGGGGCTGGGTGTCCACCCCAACAGCTCTCAGGGCTCCCCATGTCTTACTTCCCACCCAAGAGGGGGCCTGACTGGGGAGAAAAGGTCCCCAGTGGCTCCTGCTCTCTCACCCTTCACTCCCCTCAACATCAAACTCTAAAAACTCAGAAAAGGTGGGGAGAGGCTGCTTCTCCAAGGCAGGGGATGGGGCTCATGGTGGGGTGTGTGGGCAAAGATCCTGGGGCTCTATAGACACTGCAGGGAGGGGGTGCCTGCAGGAGGTGGCCAGGGACACACTGCTCTCTCAGTCTGTCTCCAGTTCTCTGTCTCCGAAGGCATCACATTTTCCCTTTTCTGCCTGTTGCTGGCAAAACCTGACATCTGGCCCTCTCTGCTGCCACAGCTGCTGCAGATGTTGCAGCCAAGGCTGTCCAGGATGGTGTGACCAGAGACGACAGCAGGAGTGAAGGGGGGTGAGGGCAGAGGGTCCAGCTAGGGGAAGCCTGACAGTGTCCAGCTTGCGGATTTCCTTCCACTGAAACCTAGGCTGAGCCTCTCCAGTTTTTGTTGCTTGGCTGATTCTCCTGGGAGGAGAAACCGATCTCACACCCAGCCTCCACTAGTCGTCTGTCCAGTGTCCCTCTAGCATTCCACTGTTTCTGGATCAGAAGCGGGGCCTGAACAGCCCATTCTCTAAGCTCCCCAGTTTCAGCACTGTAGGTAAAGGATCCTTTATTTCTATTCCTAGGGTCCCTTCCTGGGAGTCAGAAGGTGAGAGAGCCGTCTATGTGAGGTAGAGGGAGTGGCTCCCTGCTCCCACTCCTGCCCTGGAGGCACTAAGGACACTGGAGCAGGAAGTGGGAGGCTGGGGCAGGAAGTGAGTCACTGACCCAGGAAAAGCCCCTTCCCCCCAGATCTGCTAGGGCCTAAATAAGAAAACAACGTCTGCTTCCTGATTTTTTCCTGACCCCCTTCCTACCCTTACAGACAGATGCAGAAATAAATACACAAGACGCCTGGATTGCCTGAAGCACCCCTTCCCCATCCCCACCTGCTCTGATCTGGTATTTCCTATGCCTAGTCTCTGGCTCTTTTTTGAATACAAAGATCTCTTGCCAAGGGCTAGGCTGGGCCCCCTCTGGGTGACCCTTACCCCACCTCATGTTCCTAAACAGGGCTCCTTCTCGTTGCCACCATGAGTGAGGCATTTGACTGTTCAAAATGCAGTGAGTCCCTGTATGGCCGCAAGTACATCCAGACAGACAGTGGCCCCTACTGTGTGCCCTGCTATGACAACACCTTCGCTAACACCTGTGCTGAGTGCCAGCAGCTTATTGGGCACGACTCGAGGGTAAGGACCAGTCCAGGCAGGGCTGGGAGTGGTTGGAGGCTGGTGGGAGGGGGCAAAGGCCTGGGTGCCAGTACTCTGTGCCCGCCTATAGGAGCTCTTCTATGAGGATCGCCACTTCCACGAGGGCTGCTTCCGCTGCTGCCGCTGCCAGCGCTCCCTAGCCGATGAACCCTTCACCTGCCAGGACAATGAGCTGCTCTGCAATGACTGCTACTGCAGTGCCTTCTCTTCACAGTGCTCTGCCTGTGGGGAAACCGTCATGCCCGGTATGTCCCTGGGGCTTCATCCTTTGGAGACTGGCATGCCCAGAATCTGTGTAGGGCCTTTGCAGGTACCTGTCTGATACATATATGGGAGACCCGCACACATAGCATGCTCTTGGAAATTTAGAGTGTGGGGATCTGTTCGTACCTTTATGCTCTTGGGAGCTTGCTGTACATAGGGATTGGCGTGCCCAGATCTACAAATGAAAGCTTGGCACGTACAGAAACTGACAAGCCTGGTACATTTTTAAAGGCTTAACATGTACTGGATCAGTCAGCCTGGTACAGTACGTACTTGGGGACTTACCCTGTACGGGCTGACGTCCTGTATACATACCTGGGAGACTAGCATGTATAATGACCTGCATGTTAGGTACATGTAGGAGCTGAGGGTGTGCTGAGACTGTTGTGCTTGGTGCACTAGCGCTTGGTATGTGCAGAGATCAAACAGAGGGATTAGAGTTGGTGACGACCTGCATGCCTAAAAGACATGGGGACTTAGCACGTGTGAAGAACATCATGCCTAGAACATGTGAGAGCTTAGCATGCACTGAACCTATCGTGCTTAGGGCATTAGAACTTTATGTAGGCAAGACTTGCTTGTCTGATATATGTGAGATCGTGTTAAACAGTCATTTCTGATTATAAGGGCTTAGCGTGTACTGAGATGACATACCTATTATGTGGAGACTTGACTTGTGTTAAGATAGTCCTATCTGATACATAAGGAGACAGCATATGCCAAATCCCTCTTGTCTAGTTTTGGGGTCCTTGCACGTGTGGAGCCATCCTGTCCAGTGTTTGGGGAGAGGTTAGCATGTGCAGTGTACACGGTGGGGGTCTTGCTGCATGTGCATGGACATCATCCTGCTCAAGCTATGGGAGCAGTGGAGACCGTGTTGGGGTGGGTAGCGGAGCAGCCTTCGGGTGCGTGGGACACAGCTTCTGAGTGGGTCTCCTGTTCCCCACAGGGTCCCGGAAACTAGAATATGGAGGCCAGACATGGCATGAGCAATGCTTCCTGTGCAGTGGCTGTGAGCAGCCGCTGGGCTCCCGCTCCTTTGTGCCCGACAAAGATGCTCACTACTGCGTGCCCTGCTATGAGAACAAGTTTGCTCCTCGCTGTGCCCGCTGCAGCAAGGTGGGGGCCAGGTCAGCGGGGTTAGGGTAAGGCTTGCTGTGGGGTGGGAATCCCCACTCCTCCTGCTGATGGTGCTGCCCTTACAGACGCTGACCCAGGGTGGAGTGACGTACCGTGATCAGCCCTGGCATCGAGAATGCTTGGTCTGCACTGGGTGCCAGACACCCCTGGCAGGACAGCAATTCACCTCTCGGGATGATGATCCCTATTGTGTGGCCTGTTTTGGAGAACTCTTTGCACCTAAGTGCAGCAGCTGCAAGTGCCCCATCACAGGTGGGACAGGTGGGTAGTGTGCAGACCAGAGCATGGATGTGGTATTGGGTGAGGGGCAGGACTACCCCTAGATCTACGGAGCTAACCTCCAGCCTCCCTCTAGGACTTGGTGGAGGCAAGTACGTGTCCTTTGAAGACCGGCACTGGCACCACAGCTGCTTCTCCTGTGCACGCTGCTCCACCTCCCTGGTGGGCCAAGGCTTTGTGCCGGATGGAGACCAAGTGTTATGCCAGGGCTGCAGCCAGGCAACGCCCTGAGTCGGGGCTCCTGGCCTGGGCATTCTTAATCCAGGACTCCAGGACTATGGCTCCTTTTCTGAACCACCTCTGTAACACAGCCCCTCCCCAGAATGGGGCTCTCCTAGGCTCCAGGATTCAGACTCCTTACTCCAACATACCCCAACTGGTACTCCCTCACTCAAGGCCCTAAACCTGGGCTCTTAAAAAAGCATCCATGATTCAGGCCCCCACTCCAAGTCTGGACTGTAAAACATAGCCCGCATCCCTGCAGTGTGGATTCCTATGCCAAGCCTCCTTTTCCAGTCAGGATCTAGACCCCAGCCCTCCAAACTTGGACTCTGGGACCTAGGCTCTCCTAAATCTAGATCTCTCTGCATAGATTATTTTAGGTCTCCTATGGGTGCCTGAGAAGTCCTCAAACATAGTACTCAGGCTTGGCTCCACCCCTAGCCTCAGGGCTGGGGCTATTTGAGCAGCAGATCAGAGTCTCACTGGTGAAAGGGTCCTGAGGTACAGTATGCTGCCTAGTTCTAGGTCATCAAGCATCTTCTCATCGTATTTCAGCGGCATTTCGCTCAGAAATGTGCAGAGGGGGCGTGGCTCACTCCCCCCTTCCAGATTCTGCAATAAAGCAGTATAAGGAAGCACA